GGAAACAAATATTGTGGGGGTAAGACACCCCTAACACCCCTTCGGGCGTGTGTTCTGTGAAGATACAAACTGTTGTGCATTAAAATGGCTTCTACTGTACAGCGCTGTGGAGTTGCAATGGTACTGGCTACACAGTACTCCAGAAGGGTGTTCCCTCTGGTAAAAGGGAAAATCCAACATTAGAAATTGCGGCAATGTTCATGGAAGGAGGGTAGGGATAAATAAATACTCGGGCAAAACCGGGTTATCAGCTAGTAGGATTTAAAATTTTGGTAGCACTGTTAAGCTGCTTTGAGATGCAAATTAGTTTAAACCTTCTCACATTATTAAATGCAGCCCTTGGAAAGTTCTGCAGAGGAAGTCAAGAAGCAAGCACCAATAGAAGCATCTCATAGTTATGATGCTTTGTGTCTTCCTTTGTGTCTTCCTTGGCCTTTCAGGTAGAGGTCCTCTCCTGATCAAAGATGACAATGGGTGAACCCTCCTTTTCAAGTTTCCCCCTGATCCTTTCCTTATCTTTGATTCTCAGGTTGTCACTCAGAGATTCAGTTGGTGGAGACTGAAGGGGGTGTTGTAGCCCCCGGAGGTTCCCTCCAACTAAGCTGTAGAACATCTGGATTCCTGTTCATAAGTTATGACATGCACTGGTTCCGGCACATTGCAGAGAAAGAAATGGAATGGGTGGCTGGAGTAGATACTTCAGGAAGTAGCAAATGGTACAATCCCAAAGTCACTGGAAGATTCACCATCTCCAGGGACAATTCCCAAGGTTCAGTATATCTCCATATGAACAGTGTGAAGACTGAAGATTCAGCATTCTATCATTGTGTAAAGCACACAGCGACACCATTTCCTTTCCAGCTTGTACAATTTCTCCAGTGGTCCCTTGAGAGGAAATGTTGAGAGGAAGAGGTCCGCCCTTGCAACTCTTTCCTATCAACTTGTCTTCTTCATAGGTTTTCAAGGCAGCTTCTGCCTCAGGAGTTATCATAATGTTCTAGGCTGCATAAACAGAGGGATAGACTCAAGATAACATGAAGTGTTAATACCACTTTATAATGCCTTGGTAAGGCCACACTTGGGATACTGCATTCAGTTTTGGTCACCACAATGTAAAGATGTTGAGACTCTAAAAAGAGTGCAGAGAAGAGCAACAAAGATGATTAGAGGACTGGAGGCTAAACATATGAAGAATGGTTGCAGGAACTAGGCATGTCTAGTTTAATGAAAAGAAGGACTAGGGGAGACATGATAGCAGTGTTCCAATATCTCAGGGGTTGCCAGAAAGAAGAGGGAGTCAAGCTATTCTGCAAGTCACCTGATAGCAGTATAAGAAGCAATGGGTGGAAACTAATCAAGGGGAGAAGGAACCTAGAACTAAGGAGAAATTTCCTTAGAAATTAATCAAATTTCCTTAGAACAATTAATCAGTGGAAGAACTTGACTTCAGAAATTGTGAATGCTCCAACAATGAAAGTTTTTAAGAAGATGTTGGACAACCATTTGTTTGAAGTGGTGTAGTGTTTCCTGCCTAAGCAGGAGTTGGACTAGAAGACCTCCAAGTTTCCTTCCAACTCTGCTTTCTATTCTATTCTGTTCTATTCTACTCGATTCTATTCTATTCTATAATGGAACAAGATCTCATGAAACAAACTACAATACCAGCAGCACTGCAGAAAAGAAAAATGGTTAGGATATCACCAAACCTTGATCCATATTTTAAAGATCAATTTTAGTGCTACTGGGATCGAAATTGGTGGGAAGGTGGTTAATACAGTATAAAACCAAGTGGAATATTCAAGGGTGGAGGAAGATGATGAAGAACAATAGGGAGATTTTCTGTGCTCTTTGAAAAATGCAAGATGGCCATGAGTAACAAAGAAGGAATGAAGAAACCCAGGAAGGCTCAGGGTTGCTAGCTTGATAAACAAACTCCTTGAAATATACCCTGACCTGCAATACAATGTTCATCAGAACAGAACAGAACAGAATAGAATTCTTTATTGGCCAAGTGTGATTGGGCACACAAGGAATTTGTCTTTGGTGCATATGCTCTCAGTGTACATAGAAGAAAAGTTACATTCATTAAGGATTATAAGGTACTACACTTAATGATAGTCATAGGGTACAAATAAGCGATCAAATCATATTAGGAAACAATCAATATAAATCGTAAGGATACAAGCAACAAAGCTACAGTCATACAGTTCTAAGTGGGAAGAGATGGGTGATATGAACGATGAGAAGATTAATAGTAATAATAACACAATAGTAAATATTGTACAGTGGGAGGAGTATTAAAGTATCAAAACCTTGAAACGTAATATTAGCTGTGAGCCCAATAATTGCTCCCTTTTATTAAAAACCAGTATTCTCCAATCAACTGATTGAAAATTAAAAATGCTCTATTCCTAAAATCCCGGTCTCAGGAAAGTACGCTTGAAAGAACGGGATGAATTTATTCTCCAAAGAAAAGGAGCATGTTGTTACAATACAGGGACTATGCAAACAGGCTAATTTCCTTTGCACCCTTAAATGCATTGGTTGAGAACTCTACTCTGCAGAGAAAGTCAAGAACTTAGCTTCAAGAGACACCAGCATTGTCACAGCACTGTCACAAATATGTTTCGCATCTTTGTTGTCTTCTTCTTTCTCAGTCTTTCAGGTAGATGTCCTCTCCTAACCAAAATTGACAATCGGTCAACTCTGCTTTTCCGGTTTTCCTCTGATCCCATTTTTTAAATCTTTCCTTCTCAGGCTGTCACTCACAGGTCCAGTTGGTGGAGACCGGAGGGGCTGTCGTAGCCCCTGGAGGTTCCCTCCGCCTAAGCTGTAAAACATCTGGATTCACACTCACAAGCTATCACATGCACTGGTTCCGGCAGGTTGCAGAGAAAGAAATGGAATGGGTGGCTGGACTAGATCCTTCAGGAAGTAGCAAATGGTACAACTCCAAATTCAATGGAAGATTCACCATCTCCAGCGACATTTCCCAAAGCTCAGTATACCTCCAGATGAACAGCTTGAAGATTGAAGACTCTGCCTTGTATCATTGTGCTCCACAGTGACTCCACTTCCCTTCCAGCTTGTACAATTTCTCCAGTGGTCCCTTGAGAGGAGATGTTGAGAGGAAGTGGCCTTGCATCTCTCTCCCTCAGCTTCTCCTTTTAAGAGACTCCTGGAAATAGTGTACAAGGCCAAAATGTGCAGCTTCTGCCTCAGGAGTGCAGTTATCAGAATGGGACAAGATCTCATAAAACAACCTTGATCCATACTTTTGATCCAAAATTTAGTGCTGCTGGGATTGATGCTAGTGGGAAGTAGATGTTGTATCTCACCAGTACAAGGCATGGCCTGTGACTGGAGCCATTGTCACTGGGTTCCCTCAGACATGGATGGCCCCAAGATATTTGATGGGGTTTCAGTACACCACCAGAATCTCAATGAATATTCTCAGTCAGGTAGAGTTGTCCAGAAGTTGAGTCATTCTAATTCAATTTCTTCTCTTTTCTGATGGAAATGTTTGGCTGCTTATTCAAGGAGCAACTAAGAGCGGAGGTGGCGCAGTGGTTAAATGCAGCACTGCAGGCTACTTCAGCTGCAGTTCGGCTGTTCAAATCTCACTGGCTCAAGGTTGACTCAGCCTTCCATCCTTCCGAGGTGGGTAAAATGAGGACCCAGATTGTTGGGGGCAATATGCTGACTCTGTAAACCGCTTAGAGAGGGCTGAAAGCCCTATGAAGCAGTATATAAGTCTAACTGCTATTGCTATTGCTATTGCTAACTTTCAAACCCTAATGAAAGAAATGAAGCACTTGCCATGCTTCATTAGACATTGAACTTATAGACCTTCACCTCAGAGGAGGGTTGCTTATTTTTATTCTACTAGTTCAGGCATGCTCGTACACGCACAATGCTTCAGAGCATGCACAGAAGTGTTCAGGCAGGTGGATAGAGCCTGTCGCCACTGCTACTACCGGTTCGTCTGATCTGGGCCGAACCAGCATCAACCCACATCTGCTTCACCTTTAGATGACTTTATGCAGCACATTCATTTCATAGTTTTCCAGGCCATGGTGGTCATTGGTATCAGGAGTGAAACTTTGGACATAATTTTTGGGAAAATGCATAAGGAAACTACACTCAGCTGCTTTTTCCCAAAGAATGGAGTACTGTGTTGAAATGCATACCAGAAAAGAGAAACCTGTAGCACCTGCTTAATGTGAAAAAGTGACCTATCATGTTCAATGAGTATTATTGTTATTAGTGTATGGTGTTGTTACAATAGGTAGGAGAGCACAATGCTATTGCAGAGTAATAGTTTGACTTGCCAAGGTGCCAGCTCTGTTATAGGACATGCTTGCCTGCTTCCCAAGGTGTGCCATAAGAGGCAGAGCTGGCTTTGCAGCAGAGAGAAAGATGAGTGGATCTTCCTATAGCATCACCCAAGACCCCCTCCCTTACCAAATGGGCACCCTCTCCTCCCAAATTGGCACCACAACTGGGAAGGTTCAGAGCCATCAAGAATCAGACTGCCTGCACAGAGCTGCATCTCATATCCCCACCCAAGTGGTACCTAATTATCTATTTGCATAGAACATTCTTTTGAACTCTTTGGTGGACAGAAGCTGAAGCTAGTGATGGGAAATTCATCCCACCACTCAGCGCTAGGGTTTGAACCATTAGAAAATCTGCTCAATTCGCCGCTATTCTTGACCTGAAATTGGAAAGTTATTAGCAGTTGAGTTCCACTTTTGATAAGTAATATACCCATAATAATTAGGGAACTAGAATGGCTTGGGTGTTGCGATGACCCACAAAGGCAACACAGCCAGAGAGCCAGTATAAGTCCCTTTATTATCACCAACTGTGCCCCCAGTGTCCTTTTCAACTCTCTGCCTGGAGAGAGCTCTTCCACCAACCTGTAATAGTCTCCAGCTGACAATACTTCAGTCCCAACATTGTAAACAGGAACCTCCAACTATAAATCCAACAAGGCAAGATAAGGTAATTAATCCATCAGGGCGGCAATAAATCAAACAAGTTGGGAGGATGCCAGGAACTCAGATAAGCAGTGAACACAAGATAAACTCAGGTTTTGTTCCTGACAACCATTTGCCTCTCCTTTAAACTCCATCCCCAGGTGTGCCTTGTGAAGGGAATTGGTGCCCTTTCTTCCTTTGTAAGCCACGTAACCTACATTGCTCTCTTCTCCGTTCTTCCCTATGTTGCCTAGGATGAGGAGGGGGGCTTTGGTCTTCATCTGAACCCCCCTCCCTTGTTCTAGCTCTCCCATGCTCTGCCCAACCTGACTTTGCCCTTCCCTAGTTTCTTCCACAGCCAATGGAGCCACTATCCCGCTCTCTGTCAGCTGTTTGTCTTCCCCTTCAGATTCAGACTCTGACAGGAGCATGACAGGTTTCTTTCAAGTATGTCACCAAGAACTAAACTATATTTGCCACTAAGGAGGAAGAGATTCCATCTAAAAGTATGCAAAATACCATATTGCTAGTATGGGGAAATCATCAACCTTTCTACCTCAGATTTAAAGAAAATCAAAATGCCTAAACTTGAGGTAGAATATTAGAAGTACGTGCCCTGTTTCGTGCACTTAATTAAAGTCTTCAGACAAAACTGCCTATCGGAAAATTGCCATAATATAAGTATCTAATTTGACTCAAAACCTTGAGGCAAAATTTAACTCCAGGAGTGAATTTAGAAAAGCAAAGCAATGCAAATTAGTTGAAGCCTTTAACACTTTTTTAATGCAGTCCCTAGAAAGCTCTGCAGAGGAAGTCAAGAAAACAGTTTCAGAAGACACCCTGAGTCTTACAGTTACGATGCTTTGTGTGTTCCTTTCCGTCTTCCTTACTCTTTCAGGTAGATATTGTCACCTGATCAGAAATGACCGTGATTTACTCCCTCCTCAACTTTTACTATTATGCTCTCTTTATCTTTCCTTCTCAGGCTGTCACTCACAGGTTCAGTTGGTGGAGACTGGAGGGGATGTTGCAGCTCCTGGAGGTTCCCTCCGCGTAACCTGTGGAGCATCTGGATTCACGTTCACAAGCTATCACATCAACTGGTTCCGTCTGGCTCCAAGCAAAGAACTGGAGTGGGTGGCTGGAGTAGATGATTCAGGAAGCAGAAAATGGTACAACTCCAAAGTCAAGTGAAGATTCACCATCTCTAGGGACAATCCCAAAACCTCAGTATATCTCCAGATGAACAGCTTGAAGGTCGAGGACTCTGCCTTGTATTGTTGTGCAAGGTCAGCACAGTGACTCAATCTTCCTTCCAGCTTGTACAATTTCTCTTGGGGCCTCTTGGGAGGAGAAGTTGACAAGCAGAGGACAACACTCACAGCTGCTTTCTTTCAGTTTCTCCTCTTAAGGGCTCCAGGAAAATATCATACAGGTAATCTATGACTTAAAGGGGCACGGTGGCTCAGTGGCTTAGATGTTGAGCTTGTCGATCAGAAGGTTGGCTGTTCAGCGATTTGAATCCCTAGTGCCATATAATGGGGTGAGCTCCTGTTACTTGTCCCAGCTTCTGCCAACCTAGCAGTTCGAAAGCATGGAAAAAATGCAAGTAGAAAAATAGGGACCATTTTGGTGGGAAGGCAATAGCACTTTGCCGTTGAGTCATGTCAACCACATGACTACAGAGAAGCCTTCAGACAGCTCTGGCTCTTCGTCTTAGAAATCGAGATTGACACCACCCCTAGAGCTGGAAATGTCTAGCATGCATGTGCAGGAGAACCTTTACCTTTCATCTATGACTTACAACAATTTACTTACATAGTGATTGTTAGGAATATAATTCTAATGGTTGGGTTGGCAATATATAAATCATACAGCAATGCTGTAAATGTTTCTTTAAAGCATACTGTAAAATGTGATTGGTTGCTGTTTTCCTCAATCGGCCATAAGAGGAAGCCAGAATGCCTGTTAGCTCTCTCTCTGTTTGTTAGATGCTGGGCTGAACTGATCTGAGTGCCGTGACCTTGATTACTGGATTGATTATATGTTACTGGACTATGTTATTTGGATTATCCCTTAACTGAAAGACATTGATGACTGACTGTCTTATCCGTGTATGACTTGGACTGTTTGATGGACTCTGATACCTCTATTTCCACGAAAGTAAAAGCCTATTTAAACTGCAGTGTCTCTGTATTCTGGTTTGTGTGTCCTCCAACACAAGTCTCACAACGCTTCTCTGAACGTACTCACTCTCCTAACGGGGAACTTACCTAACAGTTATCATCTGAAGTTACAACAACACTGAAAAAAGTCACTTATGACCATTTTTCACCCTTACAACCAGGGGTGAAATCCAGCAGGTTCTGACAGGTTCTGGAGAACTAGTAGTGGAAATTTTGAGTAGTTCAGAGAACCGGCGAATGCCACCTCTGGCTGGCCCCAGAGTGGGGTGGGAATGGAGATTTTGCAGTATCCTTCCCCTGCCATGCATGCCCACCAAGCCACACCCACCAAGCCACATCCACAGAACCTGTAGTAAAAAAAAATGAATTTCACCACTGCTCACAACCGTTGCAACATCCCCATGGTCATGTGTTGAAAATGGCAATGTTTGACAAATAGCATGTATTTATGATGGTGCCAATCCCCGGGGGTCATGTTATCTTCTTTTGAAAACTTTTGACAAAGAAAGTCAGGAACCACGATTCACTTAAAGAACGTGTTACTAACTTAGCAACACTTAACAACTGAGACATGAAAGCTGTAAAAAGAGGCAAAACTCACTTAATAAATGCCTTGCTTTGCAACTAAGATGATTAGGGGGCTGAAGATGTCAGAGTTTGTTGCCTAAATTCAAATCCAGAAAGCACAGGATACAGGTTATAAAATGTCCATGGCACCAGACCAGTTAATTTCTTTTTTTTAAAAAAAAAAAGTGGTGTTAATTACAGTATATTTGTACTATGTTTCTATTTTTGTAATATAATAAAGATCTGTAATCTAAATAAGAAATATACTTGTTCATTAACATTGGTAACTAAAAGAGGTGGTGGTGTAAAATCAAATTTAATTTCACTGGAGTGAATGAATGAAGGGGTTTTAAATTGTATCCTGAAAATTTCCTGGGTTTCTAGGTTCTTTGAAAACATGATAAATAAGCCTGTAGCCTTTTAAACATATCCTAAACTGCTAAAGGGTGGCTCAGTGGCTAAGATGCTGAGCTTGTCGATCAGAAAGGTCGGCAGTTTAGCGGTTCGAATCCTTAGCACCGCATAACTGAGTGAGCTCCTGTTACTTGTCTCAGCTTCTGTCAAAGACCAGAATAAATATTTCAAGTGGCCATGTATCTGCTATATACTGCAAGTAATTATAAATACAGTAAATACAACCAAGATTCCACATGTCAGAAAGGTAGATATAAGATGTCCAGGAAGGACTATTGTGGTGTAGCATTATATTTTGTGATGGCTAGAAGTGCTTTATATGCTTAAAAAAGTATCTGTAAAGCTGTCATAACTTCAAATCAACTTCAAACATTAAACAACCTTATTTAGGGGACACGGTGGCTCAGTGGTTAAGACACTGAGCTTGTCAATCGAAGTTCGGCAGTTTGGCAGTTCAAATCCCTAGTGCCGCATAATGGAGTGAGCTCCCGTTACTTGTCCCAGCTTCTGCCAACCTAGCAGTTTGAAAGCATGTAAAAATGCAAGTAGAAAGATAGGAACCACCTTTGGTGGGAAGGGAACAGCGTTCTATGCACCTTTGGTGTTTAGTCATGCTGGCCACTTGACCATGGAGACATCTTTGGATAGTGCTGGCTCTTCGACACCACTCGAGCACCACTCCCTAGAGTCAGTAACAACTAGCACATATTGTATGTGTGAGGGGAACTATTACTTTTACCTTTTTAAACTGCAGTGTAAGTTTCTTTATTAAATATTGCACAGTGGGACAGGTATCAAAATACTGAAATGTAACATTAGCTCCATGTCCAGTAATTGTTCCTTTTAAAAAAAATTAAAGTCATTAGTCGCCAATCAACTAACTGAAACTTAAAAAAAATACGTTCTTGAAATCCTGGTCTCAGGAGAGTACTGTATGCTTGAAACTATGGGGTGGATTTATAGTTTGAATGGCAGGAGCATGTTACTTAGTTAATTAATTTACTTTATTGTGAGTATAGTTATAGTTTACTTTATATGAGCCACGGTGGCACAGTGGTTAGAGTGCAGTACTGCAGGCTACTTCTGCTGACTGCCAGCTGCCTGCAATTTGGCAGTTCAGATCTCACCAGGTTCAAGGTTGAACTCAGCCTTCCAGCCTTCCGAGGTGGGTAAAATGAGGATCCAAATTGTTTGGGGGCAATAGGCTGACTCTGTAAACTGCTTAGAGAGGGCTGTAAAGCACTATAAAACGGTATATACTGTAAGTCAAAGTTCTATTGCTATTGTCATTGCACCTCGTACAATGAAATTAAATGCTATCTTCAGTGTACATTATACATAAAACAAAACATGCATCCTTCGCATTCTATACAATTGAATGGACAATCCCTGATATTGCATTGATATTGCACTATATAATATAGTTCAATATAGTCACTGCTCTGGGGTAGAAGTTGTTTTTCAGCCTATTTCTCCTTGTTTTTATTATCCGGTACCATCTGCCTGATGGTAATAGTTTTAAAAAAAAGGTTTCCCAGGATGACATGGATCTTCAAGAATGTTTTGAACTTCCTTCAGGCAGCGGGAGCTATAGAGCTCTTCTAATGCTCTTATAATATGGGGGACTATGCAAATTGGTTGGTATCTTTCACAACTTTATATGGAGCCCTTGAGAATTCCCCCTGCAGAGAAAGTGAAGAACTTGTTGTCAAGAGACACCAGCACCTGACACAATTATGTTTTACATTGTCTTTATTTTATTCCTTGGTTTTTCAGGTAGGCGTTCTCTTCAGCCCAAAATGACCATTGGTAAACTCTCCTTTTCTACTTTTACTCTGACCCTTTCTTCATCTTCCCTTCTCAGACTGTGACTCACAGGTTCAGTTTGTGGAGAGTGGAGGAGGTGTTGCAGCCCCCGGAGCTTCCCTCCGCCTAACCTGCAAAGCATCTGGATTTACCTTCACAAGCTTTAACATACACTGGATCCGTCAGGCTCCAGAGGAAGGACTGGAATGGGTGGCTGGAGTGGATAGTTCAGGGAGCACCAAATGGTACAATTCCAAAGTCACTGGAAGATTCACCGTCTCCAGGGACAATTCACAAAGTTCAGCTTATCTCCAGTTGAACAGCTTAAAGGCCGAAGACTCTGCCTTGTATCACTGCACAAGGTACACAATGACTTATTCTTCCTTGCAGCTTGTACAATTCCTCCAGTAGTCCCTTGGGAGAAGAAATTGAGATGCAGAAGCTGCAACTAACAGCTTCTTTCTGTAGGGAAAATTAAATTATCTATCTATCTATCATCTATCTATCTATCTATCTATCTATCTATCTATCTATCTATCTATCTATCATCTATCATCTATCTATCTATCTATCTATCTATCTATCTATCTATCTATCTATCATCTATCATCTATCTATCTATCTATCTATCTATCTATCTATCTATCTATCTATCTATCATCTATCATCTATCTATCTATCTATCTATCTATCTATCTATCTATCTATCTATCTATTTACACACACACACAAACACATGTATGTATGTGTGTATATTCCACCATAACTCTGGAACGCCTTGAGCAATTTCAACCAAACTTGTTATACAGATGACTTACTCTCTGGAAACAAATACTGTGGGGGTAAGACCCCTCACACCCCTTGGGGGGTGTTCTTTTATGATACAGCTTGTTGTGCCTTAAAATGGCTTCTACTGTACTGCCGTAAAATGGCTTCCACTGCACAGTGCAGTGGATTTGCCATGGTAATGGCTTCAGAGTACTCCACCAGGGGGCTCCCTCTGGTAAGGGGGAAAATTCAACATTAGAAATTATGTTTGGTCTAGATATTTCCCCCCTATAAATATATACTCGGGCAACATTGGGCTATCGGCTAGTTCCTAATATGAAGAAGAGGCAGGATAGAATATTTCTCCCAAAGGGGAAATGGAGAAAAATCTTAACAAAGGCAGAAAGCATCCCGAGTTTTTCTGTCATAGAAATATAGCCTGAAGCAGAAGCTTGAAGAAGCTTGCCTTTTGGAATGGAGATTTTGTATCCGTTCAGAAAGACTAGGCCAATCTATTCATGAGCAAAGAGATTCCAAATAAGCAACACAATTAGGCAAGCCAAAGCTGACAAGATTAGCACCTAGGATTCCCATTCCCCTTTATCTCAACCCCATTTTGTCAGCCATCCAAGAAACATACTCTGAAGTTTCTGGAATCCAAATAAACAGAGACCTTTTGGGCTTCATTTTATTTCCACCATCTTTCTCCTGGAGTGGAACTTCCAGGCTAGTGGTGGGATTCAGCCAGTTCGCACATATTCAGGAGAACCGGATGGTGACTTTCTAAGCAATTCAGAGAACCGGTTCTTGGAAGAAATCTCAGTTTGTTTTTTCCACTTCACAGGGCTAATCCTGTAAGGAAGGCAGGAAGGAAACATTCTGGTATTGTTTCTAGCCTAATCTTTATTGCCCTGCTTACAGAAACTGCCTCTCCAATTAACCCTTATTACCATTGTAACAACTAAGGNCCAAACTTGGTACACAGATGATTTGCTCTGTGGAAACAAATATTCTGGGGGTAAGACACCCCTAATACCCCTTGGGGGGTGTTCTTTTACAATTCAGCTTGTTGGGCCTTAAAATGGCTTGTACTGTACTGCTGTAAAATGGCTTCTACTGTTCGGTGCAGTGGAGTTGCTATGATAATGACTTCACACTACTCAACAAGGGGGCTCCCTCTGGTAAGGGGAAATATCCAACATTAGAAATTACATTTGGTCTGGACATTTTCGCCCTATAAATAAATATCCAGCCAACACCAAGTTAGCGGCTAGTAAGTTATAGTTGAGCTTGTACAATTTATCCAGAGGTCCCTTGAGAAGAAGAGGTCATCCTTGCTGCTGCTCTCACTCAGCTTCTTCATTCAATTGTCCCTAAAAGAATCTGCATCAGTTATAATTGTGCAGCTTCTGTCCTGGAGCACCACAGGACTGGATTCATCCTCGTTAATATTCCTTGGACATTGGTAGCTAGATGTTATTCTACTTGATCCAAAGGCTCAATCAGGAATTGAACTCATGGTCCTTCATCTCTTAGATGATTATGTGGTGTGTTATTTGAACACGTTCACAGGCCCTGGTGCTCATTGGTCTCAGAAAGAGGATACAAGGATAGAATCTTTGAAAGAAACACAGCCTAAACAAAACATCAACAGCAGTTCTAGAGCAGAGCAAAATGGAACATATGGAAGAGAAGTGGAGGAAGGCAGTATGTAAAGCAGAATGAAGTGGTATATTAAGTCTAAGTGCTATTGCTATTAACAGGTTAACAGACTTGGAAGGGATCTTGCAAGTCATCTACTCGACCTCCCAACCCAAGCAGGAGACCCTACACCATTTCCAACAAATGGCAGTCCAATATCTTCATGAAAGCCTCCAGTGATGAAGCTCCCACAACTTCCAAAGGCAACTTCTGTTCCATCGGTTTGATTGTTCTCACTATCTGAAAATTTCTCCTTATTTCTAGGATGAATCTCTCCTTGATCAGTTTCCATCCATCATTCCTTGTCTGGCCTTCAGGTGCTTTGGAAAATANATAGATAGATAGATAGATAGATAGATAGATAGATAGATAGATAGATAGATAGATAGATTTCTTCCTCAGTGATCATTTTGTTAGGCTGCAATATCTCTAGGGGTTCTCCTTCTCTTGTCTTTGAGAGTAAAACTACAATTCCCCAATCAACAATTAAAAATTGACTATTCCTAAAATCCTGGTCTCAGGAAAGTGTTGTATGTTTGCCACCATGGGATGAATTTATAGTATGAATGGAAGGAGTGTGTTCTTATCATATGGGGACTATGCAAATTGGTTCAATTCTTTCACACCCTTAAATGTTGCAGTTCTTGGAAACTCCACTCTGCAGAGGAAGTCAAGAAACTAGCTCCAAGTGGCACTAGCACTGTCATAATTATGTTTTGCATCTTCGTTGTCTTCTTTCTCAGTCTTTTGGGTAGATGTTCTTTTGTAACCAAAAATTGACCATTGGTCAACTCTGCTTTTCCAGTTTCCCCTGATCCCTACTTTATTTTCCTTCTCAGGCTGTCACTCAAAGGTTCAGTTGGTGGAGACTGGAGGAAACGTTGTTGTAGCTCCTGGAAGTTCCCTCCGTCTTACCTGTAAAGCATCTGGATTCACCTTTGCAAGTGCTTACATGGACTGGGTCCATCATTCTCCAGAGGAAGGACTGGAATGGATGGCTAGAATTAGTGATACAGGAAGTAGCAAATTGTACAACTCCAAAATCGCCGAAAGATTCACCATCTCCAGGGATAATTCCCAAAGTTCTCTTTATCTTCAGATGAACAGCTTGAAGCCCGAAGACTCTGCCTTGTATTATTGTGCAACAGACACTGTGACTGAATTTCCCTTTAAGCTTTTACAATTTCTCCAGGGGTCCCTTGAGAGGAGAGGCTGGAAGGAAGAGGCCCAACCTTGTTTCTATTTCCTCTGAACTTCTCCATTCATAACCCCTAGAGATATTGCAGCCTCTGACACTAGAGTGCAGCTGTCAAAAAGAAACACATAATGTTCTCAAACCAAAAAAGCAGGCAGAAGCACTGAAAGAGAAATGTTCACATGTAAGCTGTAAGATCTTGGTACTTATAGTATAGTCAATCTTAGCTGATCTTCTTCTAAGAAATTTGACCTCTGGTGGGAGAAAACTGCAGTAATATTGAAGATACATTAGAGTAAAAGTGGAAAAGTAAAGGGTGGAAGAATACAATGGAGGGATGTAGGGAGGTAGACTGCACTCTTCTAAAATGCAGCCTAGAAGCCACTGTCTCAGGAGTGCAGCTGTCAGAGAGGGAAAAGTTCTCATACAACAGACCAAAAAATCAGTGGAATCACAGGAAGAAAACATGGGTGGAAATAAGCAACGATTCACCCATATTTTGAAGACAAGGTTTGCTGTTGGAAGGGTGAATGCTGGTGGAAAGAGGCTACTAAAGGGCAAAAGGGATTTATTAAGGATAGATCAATGCTATTTGAGCCACCACAGTAGTTGTTTAGTGATACCAATTAATCCTGTTGCAGAAGGTTCTTCCTTTTACAGGGCAAGTTAGACATGGAAATGGACAATTCATGTTTCATTACATGTGTCTTTTCTTTAAAAATCCCCAAAATTTCTTTCATTTACAAGTCAGAAGAGGGCACTGGAGGTTCAAATATTATAAAACACCATTAATCTCAAGCATTTCACCTACTAACTATGGTTAACATGAAGACTAGATTGAAGGATTTGGAGAAGTGATTAAAATAGAATGTCAAGGTTCCCACAGATGCCCTAATGAATTCATGAGTATCGAGCCAAGTTTCAAAACAAAACCAGTTATTTATTAGGAGCAGCATGTCGGCATCTACTCGAGTGAGGTCAACTCTGCCGCATGTAGTTTATGGTTCAACTTTGACCCTGTTCTCCCCTCCTCTCAGTCTGTGTCATCAATCACATACTCCAACGAGGCACTCTTGCAGGCTGTAGAAATCCACGCCTCACAAGCCAGCTTTGGTAATCTGAGATCTGACCCTGGAAGAATGTTTGCGTAGAATGTGCTCCCCATTTTCTGCCCATGGCAATTTGAGAGCAGACTAGAAATGCCTTTGCAAATTGTCATTGAGGACATTTAGAAAGGTCTTCAAAAGCATAAATGGAATACTTTCAAACAATTTTGAATTCCATCTAAGAGACTTCATTGCTTCCGTAGTGGGGAAAGATCCAGTAATGCTGAAAACACATCAGAATAATAGTTGAAATGCAGGGAGGGAAATTTGAGGGGCATAGAAAGAATGGTAGAAGAAAATACAGATGTTAATTTAAAAAAAAATGTTTGAAAGAGGTAGGGAAAGTCATCTGATTTAACTTACATTCATCTTTGCTATAAGGATTCTGTTGTGGCCCAGCAGGAGCCGTTGGAGCTGCCACCAGATTCTGACAGCAAGGGGCCCTATGAGTCAGCCCTGGAGGATGTGGAGGACCCCGTACAGTGTTCCGACTCCAAGCAGGGTGCAGAGAGACTGGTTGGCCACCAGGTGGCACCTGAGCCTTGGATCAGTGGGGAGGAGACAAGGGAGAGTGATCCAGAAGCCAGCAGTGAGTTGTTCCGGGATGCACACCATCGAAGAACTACTCCGCATCAGGAACAATTACACAATTACAGGAGGTAATTGCGCTCAGCTGATGGTCATTAGGCTNGGGAGGTCTTATTTTTGAGGGTGTAGGAGGCTGCGAGCGTGGTCACCTCATGGCTGCTGCTGTGTTGCAAGATTTTCGGGGAGGGCTTATTTTAGCGCACGCCCTCAAAAAGCCCGATAGGGCTTATTATCCAGGGAGGTCTTATTTTCAGGGAGACACGGAATCCCCACCCACCCCCGGCTGGACCGTCAAGCCAGAATAGTTGGGGACTGCTGAGGCAGACAATAGCTATAACACCGCTCTGTAGTTAAAAGCCAACTACACAGTGGAATTGTGGAAGTGCAACAAGGCAGCCTAACAAATGCTCCTTTCATTCGCTCCGAGGCTGCCTTCTGGATCTGGTAGGCATGCCAAAGGCTCGGCTTGCGGAGAGGATGGGGTAGGTGGGTGAAACAGTGGGGAGGGGCTTGTCCGCAGCTGTCCCGGGGCTCAAACAGGGAGCTGGCGTTAAGACACAAAAGCCATTTTCTGCCTCTTGACTGAATCCACTCAATGGAAACAGCTGGCGCCTTCCTTCCCCGGCTCCAGTAATCCCAACATACTTTCAGGCTGAGAACAGGGACAAATCCGTTCTCCGGCATTTGCCTTCTGTGTCGCCAATGGCTGTGCCCTGCCAATGCCAATGCCGACGTAATCTGGCTTTTCAGGATGAGAAGTGGGGTGTAAAGTCAGGTTGTGGAATGGCTGGGTAAAGGAGTAAACCTCCCTCTACCAACCACTCAGAGCTTACAACTTTCCAGAAAACACCGAATTTTAAACATTCCATAATGTTAGAACAGTCAGAGTTGGTGGGTAATATTACAAAATTCCAAGTTATTGCTTTGTCTCTTATGGCAATTCTCTAGAAGCATTGATTTAGAGATATAGGGGGCCAGTGGTAAGGCACCAGGCTAGAGAGTTGGGGACTGTGAGTTCTAGTCCTGCCTTAGGTATGAAAGACAGCTGGAAGGCTTTGGGCCAATCATCAGGGGATGGTGAATTCTAGTCCCACCTTAGGCATGAAAGACAGCTGGGTGACTTTGGGCCAATCACCAGGCAACGGAGAGTTCTAGTCCCGCCTCAGGCATGAAAGCCAGCTGGGTGCCTTTGGGCCAGTCAACGGGACTGTGAGTTCTAGTCCCGCCTTAGGCATGAAAGTCAGCTGGGTGCCTTTGGGCCAATCAACAGGGGACGGTGAGTTCTAGTCCCACCACAGGCATGAAAGCCAGCTGGGTGACTTTGGGCCAATCACCAGGAGATGGTGAATTCTAGTCCCGCCTTAGGCATGAAAGTCAGCTGGGTGCCTTTGGGCCAATCAACAGGGGACGGTGAGTTCTAGTCCCACCACAG